GAGCTGTTTTTTCTGAGAAAACACCACTCGCCAGAGGGGAAGTGGGTCTGAGTATTGAATACACATCCTCCATTAGTGCATCAGAGCAGCTGCGTCTCTGTTGCCTCTCAGGCCAGGTGGCACCAATCAATGGCTGGCTGGAGTGCAGGATGTGCTTACATTAAGAAATGACTCCAAAGTACCAGTTACTTCAGAGCTTCCCAGAGAGCGGATTACATCACCATCCTTCCTGGTCTGGGAGGGAAGGACAGACAGAAAATAGCCACCTCCCCGCCTCGGGGCTTTGCTGATTCTTCCCAGCACATGGAATTTCCTCGTATGTGAAAATCTCTAACAACCAAATGAGAGAGACTGCTTTCATCCCCTGGGGGGACACCACAGAGGTTGCTGGGGCTTTGGGACTGGACCATGGGGGCAGGGGCGAGTTGATGGTGGAAAACGTGCTGGCATTTTGCTCTGCATCTGCCCTAAGTACAACCTTAATACACCATTCTCTGACAAGCCCCGCAAAGTGGGAAAAAAAAAAAAAAGAACCTCTGGTCCACTTTTAAAACAAATTTATTCAACGAGTGTACTTTGATGTCTCGGTGATCTCCACGGCGCCTCCCTCTCCCAGGCCCCACTCCTTCCTGCATGTGCAGTGCCCATGGGCCGGGGCGATGGCGCTGGTGTTCTGGTCTCCGCACAACGCCATGCGGACACCTCTCTGCTGACCTCTGGGCAGGTGAGTGGCCCAAAACACAGCCCGACGTCCTTCTGAACACAGGCCACCCCACATCAGATGGTGGGTTAATTCCAACTCATGCCCTCCAGGGCTGTGCTGCCTTCTGACTGGGGGTGTGGGTTCAGGGTCCATCCACCCTGGCCCCGGAGGCCCACAGCGCCCCTGCTTGTTCTTTCTGCGCCGTCTCTCGGCCACACCTGCTGCCTGCGTCTTGCTTCACCGATGGAAATGTGGAGCTCTGTGTCTGAGGTTATGGGTGATGGTTTATGCAACAGACTGATGCAGGGCTGTGACTGCAGCCCCTCCAGGCTGTGAGGACACGCTGTGAGCGTGTGGCTCTGGAAAAGCGAGGCACAGACAGAGCATTTGGAATTTCTCCTGATGACAAAGCCCACAGGGCTCCAGTAGGCCGGGGCGGGGCAAGGCAGCACACTGAAGAGGAGGTGTCCTGGGCATCCACCCAGCTCACGTCCACTGCACGACTCAAGAACCAACTGCTATCTTGGTCACTGTGTGTGTGTCTGTGCGCTAAGCTGCTTCAGTCCTGTCTGACTCTTTGTGACCCCGTGGACTGTAGCCCACCAGGCTCCTCTGTCCATGGGATTCTTCAGGCAAGAACACTGGAGTGGGTTGCCATGCCCTCCTCCAGGTGATCTTCCTGACCCAGGGATGGAACCTGTGCTCTTATGTCTCCTGCATTGGCAGGTGGGTTCTTTACCACTAATGCCACCTGGGAAGCCGGGTCACTGTATCATTACAATTAAGAAGGTATTTATAAAAAAAAAGAAACCGATCAACCCCCACCCCCACCCCCAGTGGAGAACATTGTTTTTCTGTGATTTCACCAAGTATTCCCTCCTAGAGGAACTAGACATGGACGGGGGGTCAAGCCAGAGTTCTGGTTTATCCTAACAGCCAAGCACAAGGCAAAAGTACAAGAACAAGTATAGCAAACGTCCCACAGAGATGGCCTCCTTCTGGAAAGATGTATTGCTGGTGGAGAAAGACCACACACACAGGAAAATAGCAGGAGATAATTGAAGGAGGCAGAAAACACGAATTCTACTCATAGTTGTCCATTTTTAATTTGAATGGTATCTGGAAAATGGATAACATCAAATGAATACTTTTCTAATCAGAGTGTACTGAACAGAGATTTACATCAACAGGAGAGGTGGAAGAAGAATCAGTGGCACCTACTATGTTGACAGGACATCGACTATAGTGAGAGGCAGGGAGACCTGGTGTGCTACAGTCCATGTGGTCACAAAGAGTCAGACACGACTAAGCAACTGAACAACAATAACTATGTCATGACTGTGAGTTCAGCAGCTGAAAGGTACACTTGAAGGGTGGGGACCCAGCTTCGATTGCTGGGTGTTCAGACAGACTATGTATTCTGAGCCCACACCCAGTCTTGTCAACTGTGTTTTTGTTGGCGGTGGCTCGTGGGCCGAATCAGGCATGGAGATTGTGTTTTATTAATATGTGTGTGTTCAGTTGCTCAGCCATGTCTGACTCTTTGAGACCCCATGGACTGTAGGCCCCCAGGCTCCTCTGTCCATAGGATTCTCTAGGCAAGAACACTGGAGTGAGTTGCCATACCCTTCCTCCAGGGAATCTTCCTGACCCAGAGACTGAACCTGCATCTCTTCTGACTTCTGCATTGGCAGGCGGGTTCTTAACTACTAGCACCACCTGGGAAGCCCTTTATAAATATGAGCCAATGGTTAACAATAAGGAGGTTTCAGGTGAAAATGGGTCTTTCCCTCTTATTCCGGAAATTCAAGGTGGGCAACACTGGACCTGCCTTTAAATTTTTTCTCCACATGGAGCATCTTTCGCTTCACATATCCTTTTAAATGTTTCTGTCTGGCTGTACAATCACATTAAAACATTAAGCTGCCAGAACTCTGGACCTTATTTGGTTTTCTCTTATTTCTTGAGACCACAATTCTCTCCTTTTAGAGTTCATTTGGTGCATGAAAAGAAATTTGGCTGGAGTAATTTCTAAGTGATTTCTTTCCAGAAAAATATGTGGGTGGGGATATCCTTTGACCAATTGTGTATCTGAAAATCTATCTTCCCCTCACACAGACACAGGTACACGCACAAGGACATGCATATGCCCACAGTGGTTTAATGAGGTGCAAGAGTCTAGGATCACCATTCAGTATTTTCAGACCTCTGGCAACATTGCTCTGTCCTGTGGGGAAGTCAGCAGTGTACATGACAACTCTGCTTCTGATGCCTCCTCTTCCCTTTTCAGGTAACCTGATCCCTTACTTCTGTATTTTTTGCTCTTTGATTCTCCAAAAACGTTTCTCTTTATATTTGAATTCAGCTATTTCACTGGAGACAGCAGCTAGGTTTGTGCCATTTTACTTGTTCATTCTTGCAATGGTGAGCCCTTCCACACCGAAGTTTTAGATGTCCTTAAAGAAAAGCCTCTTTTCATTTGTAAGCAGGATCTTCCTCCATCGTAGGCTGGGTTCTCTCTTTGTGCGCCGCTGGGCAGAGAACAATTATTCTTTAGAGCTCACAAAATTGGGGTCAGAAGCCCACATCTTACTTTTTTTCTCCCTAAACTTTAAAGGTACAAGTATTTTTTTTCCATTTATTTTTATTAGTTGGAGGCTAATTACTTTACAACATTGCAGTGGTTTTTGTCATACATTGAAATGAATTAGCCATGGATTTACATGTATTCCCCATCCCGGTCCCCCCTCCCACCTCCCTCACCACCCCATCCCTCTGGGTCTTCCCAGTGCACCAGGCCCGAGCACTTGTCTCATGCATCCAACCTGGGCTGGTGATCTGTTTCACCCTAGATAATATACATGTTTCGATGCTGTTCTCTTGAAACATCCCACCCTTGCCTTCTCCCAGAGTCCACAAGTCTGTTCTATACATCTGAGTCTCTTTTTCTGTTTTGCATATAGGGTTATCATTACCATCTTTCTAAATTCCATATATATGTGTTAGTATACTATAATGGTCTTTATCTTTCTGGCTTACTTCGCTCTGTATAATTGGCTCCAGTTTCATCCATCTCATTAGAACTGATTCAAATGAATTCTTTTTAATGGTTGAGTAATATTCCATGGTGTATGTGTACCACAGCTTCCTTATCCATTCTGCTGATGGGCATCTAGGTTGCTTCCATGTCCTGGCTATTATAAACAGTGCTGCGATGAACATTGGGGTGCCCGTGTCTCTTTCAGATCTGGTTTCCTTGGTGTGTATGCCCAGAAGTGGGATTGCTGGGTCATATGGCAGTTCTATTTCCAGTTTTTTAAGAAATCTCCACACTGTTTTCCATAGCGGCTGTACTAGTTTGCATTCCCACCAACAGTGTAAGAGGGTTCCCTTTTCTCCACACCCTCTCCAGCATTTATTGCTTGTAGACTTTTGGATAGCCCCCATCCTGACTGGCGTGTAATGGTACCTCATTGTGGTTTTGATTTGCATTTCTCTGATAATGAGTGATGTTGAGCATCTTTTCATGTGTTTTTTTAAAAGGCACAAGTATTAATAGCATCAGGGACCCAGGCTTTGAGTCACAGAGCACGTCCCCCGATTGTTCGCCGTAAAGGCTGTTCCGCTCGCTACAGCTCCAGCTGGAAGCGCCGGCGGGCCGCGCGTTCTGCACCTTTGCGCCGGCGGTGTCGCTTCCTCTTCCCTGTGCGCAGGGGGCCACAGCGGACGAATCTGAAGGAGGAGCGGGATTCTGTCGGCACCAGGGTTGAAGCCGACTCAGTGAGGCAGAGGGGCCGTATTCCAGGCTGTGAAATTATTTCTCAGAAGCGGACAAGCCACACCGCCCTCCCGTACCCCCCGCCCCGACGACCCCGCGGTAGAGGCCTCCGGCACCTGCTTTCCTAGGCGCGCTTGGAAGAGCTGCCGCAGCAGAGGAGGTGAGATGCTCCAGGCCCCGCGCGGGGGCACGCAGTGGGGATGAAACGAGTGGGCGCGAGATCCCCGGGCCGGCTCCTCCGTCCGTAACACGTGACCCACCGGCCGGAGGACGAGGTGTGGAAAAGAGCAGAGTCGCCGGGCAGCACGTTCGCGGCCCACTCAGGTGGACGCTACCCAGTCAGAGCTGCTCGGGACCCGAGACCGAATCCACCAGGCCCGTGTGCGCCCCTCGCCGCGTGTGTGCCGCCCAGCGCCCGGTTTCCCGCGCCTCCCGTGCGCCCCGTGCGCCCCTTGCGCCCTGCTCCGGGCGCAGTTCTCTGTGCCCCCGTGCGCCCCCAGCCCAGCGCCCCGAACCCACCGAGCAGCAGCAGCCGGTGAGTCCGCCGCAGGTCGCGCCTCTGCTCGCGGAGCCGACGGTCGATGCTTCTGCTGATCCGCCTGGCCTCGCGCTCCTCCGCGCGCTGCTGGTCGGTGCGCCGCCGCCTCTCCTGCGCCGCAGTCCGGACCCGGGCCAGGTCCAAGTCCGGCATCGGGTCCAGGTCGGACCGCGCGCCCTCCACGGGCGGCTCCGGGTCCCCGAAGAGCAGCGGCCGGAGGCTGTGGCACAGCCCCATCTGGGCGCGGGGCGCGGGCCTCGGGGCTCAGGCCCGGGCCCCTGCCGAGGGGCGGGAGGGGACTGCACGCGGACCCGGTGCGGCGCTGCGGCCGGCAGGCTGGGGCGCACAGGTGAGTCGGGGCCCCGGCCCCTCACCGCCCCCCAGGGCCATTGCGCCTTTTCCGCTGGTTCAGGGACTGGCTACCTCTTTGGCCGGAGATCACCTGACAAGGAGGACCTCTGGCCTGACCGGCTGCCGCGAGCCCGGCCCCGGTTACCGTAAGTACCGCCACCTGCACTTACCCCGTTACGGTATTTACTGCTGCCGGTCCGGCGCTCCTACCGTAAATACCACCGCCTGCGAGTCCCCCACCCCACCACGCCCGTTATCGTAAGTACTGCCGCCTAGCCAGGCCCCCTTACCGTAAATACTGCTGCCCGAGGCCGGCGCTCAGCTACAAACAGTGCCACCTTGGCCTTGGTGGTGACGCCATCGGCTAGAGCTGCCATTGCCTTCCTTAGAACTTCTCCGTGGGTTTGATCTTGGGCAGTGGGCAGTAGGAACGCAAAGCCGGCTAAAGGGGTGGGATGCCAGCGTTGAGAGCTTGAGTTCCCCGTGTAGGGTAAGGGAGTTAGAGAAGGCGAGGTTCGGAAATAGAACGAGACTGGCACTTTCAGGAACAGATCACCTTTAATGAGAAGGGGCAGCAGTCAGATTAGTGAGCTGCTGCACTAACCCAAGAAAAGAGTAAGTATATATAGGCGTATATGTGGAAATCTACTGTCTTAAGGGGGCCTGTTCTCCAAGGTTGTGCGGATTAGTTATCTCTTAAAAGGCTGGGGCAAGGAATTCTGGAGACCGGCCAGAGGCTGGGACCGGCTGGGAGCTGGGCATAATCAACCTTAATGTCCTTTCTTTTTCTTCGGGTGAGAGTGTTCTTTGTTTTGCATAGAATGGTGGGGAGGACCTGGAGGGGAGTTTTAACGCCCGGTTATTTTAAGCAGTGTAACTTTCCTTCACCCTGGGTGTTACACCTGCCGAAGTCCTTCACCTTCCTGCTGGTCATATGCACCTGTGCACACACCTCTGCACACTCTCGATCCCCACCTCAAACTATTACACCTTCCATCTCGACATTATTTTCAACAAGTTCTACACTTAGTAAAGAACTGAAAGCAGGTACCTAATTGTCAACAACAACAGTTGTGATGTACTGTTTATATTTGCTACAAGAATATGGAATTGCACACTGCATCCGATTTTTTAATCTGCAAAGTAGCACAGAGAGGAGCCGGGCACGCCTTCTCTCCATGCCTCAGATCCACGAAAGATCCCCATTTTCTCCTAATTTCTCACATAATGTCCATTATCTTATAGGGCTTCCACAACATGTGAAAATTTTGACATAGCTTTTAAGAACCCTGCTATAACCCATATTCCTTAATTTTGGTCAAAGTGGCATTGGATGTTATAATTGATAGGTAAATATATCTAATAGGAATCCCTGTTAAGGAGCAAATTGGGCTGTTTAATGCCACATGGGCCTGGGCACTTAGATTGTATTCCTCTGAGCTGCAAACTGAGGGCAGCTAATAATGACAAAACCTGCACAATTACATAGTTTGTGTGTCAAGAATGATAACTGGATCTGGTAAGAAGTGAAAGTGAAAAGTGAAAGTAAAAGTTGCTCAGTCATGTCTGACTCTTTGCGATCCCATAGACTATACCATCCATGGAATTCTCCAGGCCAGAATACTGGAGTGGGTAGCCTTTCCCTTCTCCAGGGAATCTTCCCAACCCAAGGATTGAACCCAGGTCTCCCTCATTGCAGGCAGATTCTTTACCAGCTGAGCCACAAGGTAAGAAGTAAGGTGTTTGCTAAATCAGATTGATCAGGGTCTGAAATGGTTGCTTAGTTATAAGGGGAGACCTTTAGACTAGAAGGTTGAAACTGGCAGCGACCGGCAGCTACTGTTTGGAGAAAGTCTGATGGTGTCCTTGAGTCTGACACAATTCAGAATATTCAGGTTTGTCAGTGATCCAGAAACGAGTCTGGAACCACATCCACAGTGGCCACCGAGCTCCATTTTCCTGAACCAGAGCTACTCCATTTCGATTTTAAACACATTCTTGCCTCCTTTGTCGAAGATAAGGTGTCCATAGGTTTGTGGATTTATCTCTGGGCTTTCTATTCTGTTCCATTGATCTATATTTCTGTCTTTGTGCCAGTACCATATTGTTTTGATGACTGTGGAGTGTGGAGATTTCTTAAAAAACTGGAAATAGAACTGCCATATGACCCAGCAATACCACTTCTGGGCATACACACCGAGGAAACCAGATCTGAAAGAGACACGTGCACACCAATGTTCATTGCATCACTGTTTATAATAGCCAGGACATAGAAGCAACCTAGATGCCCATCAGCAGACGAATGGATAAGGAAGCTGTGGTACATATACACCATGGAATATTACTCAGCCATTAAAAAGAATTCATTTGAATCAGTTCTAATGAGATGGATGAAACTGGAGCCCATTATACAGAGTGCAGTAAGCCAGAAAGATAAAGAACATTACAGCATACTAACACATATATATGGAATTTAGAAAGATGGTAATGATAACCCTATATGCAAAACAGAAAAAGAGACACAGATGTACAGAACAGACTTTGGGACTCTGTGGGAGAAGGTGAAGGTGGGATGTTTCAAGAGAACAGCATCGAAACATGTATATTATCTAGGGTGAAACAGATCACCAGCCCAGGTTGGATGCATGAGACAAGTGCTCGGGCCTGGTGCACTGGGAAGATACAGAGGAATCGGGTGGAGAGGGAGGTGGGAGAGGGGATCGGGATGGGAAATACATGTAACTCCATGGCTGATTCATGTCAATGTATGACAAAACCCACTACAATATTGTAAAGTAATTAGCCTCCAACTAAAAAAAAAAAAAAAAAAGACAAAAAAAACACAACACATTCTTGCCTTCAGTGGTTCAGGCAGATGGACATTGCATGTTTGACAGGTCATAAGACAGGCTGTTCTAGTGAGCATAAAGTTCATGTTAAATTATGCATAAGCCATAATGACTTACCCCACCTCAACACCAATTATTAGAAAAATAAGATTATGTGATATATGCATAGAATAAATCAGAATAAAATGTTTAATATTTATATGTAACTACTAAAAAAGTTTAAGGTTTTTTTAAGTGATTTAAAATCATTGGGTTATATATATGGACAACTCCTAATGTCAAAGATTGATTATGAATCTGAAAATAGAAACCTTGAGGGGAGTCCAAGTAAATGTAACATTACAGCAGGTTGATATAATATGTAATCTTGTGTAATCTTCACTGCTGCAGACAGGATTTTTCCATTCTTAATTTGTCTTCCTGTGAACTTCCTTTCTAAGAACAGATGGTTAGGATGTAATGAAAGGGTGTCTCTAATGTCTTTGTGTGGATATATGTTTAATTGATGAATGTGGCCCTTTATTGATGCCAGTTTTGCACATTTTAACACCATTCCATTGGAAACTTCAGTAAAATTGTAGAAAAGAGGCAGGATCAATTTGAGCTTCTCTCCCCCAGGTTGGGGCTCTGTTTGATTAGTCTTATATATAGTTTGAGAGGATTCATTAAATAATGCAGTGAGGAAATTTTATAAAAACATAGCCATTTAAAGTGAAAGTGGAGGCCTAGCTTCCTATAATGCAGGACTTGCCACCCTCTGCACTATCGACCTTGGAGGCTGGATTATTTGTTGTCTTGGGGCATGTCCTATGCATTGTGCGATGTTACGAATATGCTCAAAGATTTCAAATAAGATGTAGACATGATAAATGAACTGATGGAGAATCTCAGCAAAGAAATTGAAACTGTTGAAGGGAAGCAAATGGAAATACTAAAACCGAAAAGTGCAATAGCATAAAAAATTCATTGGATGTACTTAAGAGCAGGTTGAACATGAAAGAACAGTTTGAAGACTTAGAAAGCAGATGTATAGAAATGATTTCATCTACAGGGTGGGGTGGGAGGAAGCAACTGAGGAGAAATGAGCAAATTCCCAGAGGCCTGTTGATGAATATTATCTCATCTAAAATAAGTGTAATTACAATTTGTATGGAAATACAAAAAACCTCAAATAGCCAAAGCAATCTTGAGAAAGAGGAATGGAACTGGAGGAATCAACCTGCCTGACTTCAGGCTCTACTACAAAGCCACAGTCATCAAGACAGTATGGTACTGGCACAAAGACAGAAATATAGATCAATGGAACAAAATAGAAAGCCCAGAGATAAATCCATGTACCTACAGACACCTTATCTTCAACAAAGGAGGCAAGAATATACAATGGAAAAAAGATAACCTTTTTAACAAGTGGTGTTGGGAAAACTGGTCAACCACTTGTAAAAAAATGAAACTAGAACACTTTCTAACACCATACACAAAAATAAACTCAAAATGGATTAAAGATCTAAATGTAAGACCAGAAACTATAAAACTCCTAGAGGAGAACATAGGCAAAACACTCTCCAACATAAATCACAGCAGGATCCTCTATGATCCACCTCCCAGAATATTGGAAATAAAAGCAAAAATAAACAAATGGGACCTAATGAAACTTAAAAGCTTTTGCACAACAAAGGAAACTATAAGCAAGGTGAAAAGACAGCCTTCAGAATGGGAGAAAATAATAGCAAATGAAGAAACAGACAAAGAATTAATCTCAAAAATATATAAGCAACTCCTGCAGCTCAATTCCAGAAAAATAAATGACTCAATCAAAAAATGGGCCAAAGAACTAAACAGACATTTCTCCAAAGAAGACATACAGATGGCTAACAAACACATGAAAAGATGCTCAACATCACTCATTACCAGAGAAATGCAAATCAAAACCACAATGAGGTACCATTACACACCAGTCAGGATGGCTACTATCCAAAAGTCTACAAGCAATAAATGCTGGAGAGGGTGTGGAGAAAAGGGAACCCTCTTATACGGTTG